AGACGGAATGTTTACGTTATCGTTCGCGGCGTAGTAATACACAGTGTAAGACAGAAAAATCTCACACTGCTGTCTCACACCGGACAAGTCAATCTGACACTGGTGATTATGCGAGAAAAGAGTGATCTTATGAAGCTTCCCTCTCACATGACAAAGGATAGAGAGCCGCAGAGCATCCATTTGTTCCTAAATTTTGATGTGCAGAGGAGAGTCATTTCCAAACTACTAGACGAGAAACCTTTAGTAAAAATCTAGCATTCCTAACCATACATTCCTACCAAGCTTAGGTGATTACAAGGATTTTGATACGTCTTTTCAACTTCATATCGCTAAGGTACTTGTGATGCGTCCTTAATGAGTGTCTAAAACCAAGGACAGTGTACCACACTATATAGATCACCATCATTTGAGAGAACTTTAAAAAAGTCACAGTATTGCTTGATAGATTTGCTGGATAAAAATGAAAGCAAAATGGAAGATATGATACCCATTCTACAGAATCTCCATGAAAATTATATACCCCATACTGATGATAACCCACCTTCTGTCATAGAGAAAATAGTGTTTGGGGGAGACGTTTCATCAAACAAGAGGGCATACTCTGCACATCTGGCAATCGTTGAATGGGCAAAGTGACTTCTTCAGACTGTGTGGTGTTGTGCATATGTCAGAGGGATTACATAGAATGATAAATTTCCTTCTGCTGTTTTAGATGCTTGGCTGTTAGCTTTTGATTCCAGTTCTTCGTTGGTCGGAGAGTTTAACCTTTTATAATTGGAAGTTACTAATTCTTCAGTTAGTTAAGATGTTGGATAGTCATGAAAGTGAGTCGCATGTTGTTGTTTTTTTTAAATATTTGTATATCCATAAATAGGTCAGATAATTTTCAGGCCAAATAGAATTTTTGTCTACTTCTGGACTAAAGAAAATAACTGAGAAGAAATTTCATCTTTCACCTATGCTAAATATTTTTTTTTTAGAAAAGAAACATAATTTTATAGAGTCTTAATTCTTTATTATTTGTTTGCAAATCAGTGCATTTGACATTATATTTAAAATTTTCATCTTTATTTTGGATTGCAAAGATTCCAAAATCATGAATTGACAAGCTTTTTCTTGTTCATCATTTAGTTTCAGTATGCTTTTTGATTATTTAATAATTTTGTAGGGTCACTTTTAAAAGTAATACAAAATAATGGTTTTGTAGGGTACTTTTCATGAAATACTTCACAAACTTGCTTTGTTCATGTTGCAGTTTATTGCATGGTTTCATTTTTTAAATTGGCACAGTAGTATTGAAATGTCAGCTTTGCTTGCAAATACATGTACATCATAGAATTGAGCAGCAAAGTTAGATGTACATGAACTTTTCAATTCTCAGGTTTGATTTTCAATGAATTTACAGTCTCAATCTATTTTAGTCATCTATTAAGAATTCTACAGTGCACGCTATGCTGCAGACCAATGTACTCTATCAGTTGCGCAACATCTGGCACAGAGTAGTGTTACAGGACCTGATGTGTCACTTGTGATTGCAGTTAAAGTATATAGGTATATATTCAACTTTTTCTTTAATAGCAATGACGAAATTTACCTTATATGTTTTCCTAATTAAAAAAAAAATGCTTTTGATGAGTATTGCCTTGATGCTTTTATATAGGCTGCTGCCATGTAGAAAATTGGGCATGAATGAACTGGATGATCACCCTAAGGAATTCACACCAACGACACTTTTAGAGATGGCTAGATATGATGAGCAGTATTCCTGATTATCATGATTAGTGCAAGAAATCTTGGAATGCCATGTTAACCTTGATAAAGATAAATCCATTTGATAAAGCCCTTCACCGGTATTTGGTGACGGCTCTATACGAGTGAAAAATATCGAATTGGACAGTTTTTTTTCCAAAAATATTTGTTGTTTAACGTCCCTCTCGAGAAGTTTTCACTTATATAGAGACGTTACCACTTGCCGGTGGAGAGCTGCAAATTTTGACTTATACTCGGCACCCAGGGCCATTGAGCAGTGAGGATCTTTTTCGTGCCAGCACCTACTGCGACACGGGATCTCGGTTTATACGGTCTCATCTGTAGGACCAGTCTCCATGCCCCACAGTGGGATTCAAAACCGCGACGCAAGGATCAACTCCTTACTCCGCGAACTCTCTAACCACTGCGCCACGTGGTTTTGCTTTTTGTCCACTATTAAACTTCATACTTTAAAACGGCATACAAAGACAGGAAGGGATATCCATCCACCTCCAAAAATTGAGAACGTAAGAATGTTAAAGGAAATAAAATTAAACTAAAACCGTAGCCAACCCCTCCCCCGATTTATTTTTCATTTCTGAAATCGGGGCTGCCTAAAAAAAGAGTTGATCAATCTGACATGAAATTCAACAAGAATGAAAGTTTCTGTGCAAATTTTTAATCTTTTACTCCGTGCAAACTGAATTGTTTGCTCTTCATTTTTCTCTCCATGTTTTGTGATATTTTTCGCTCCGTCCTCAGATTTCTCTGTGAAGATGTCTTAAAGGACGTCAATTTTGATTGTCTATTGCCTTTTAAGGAGTTTGTGTCTAGCTCTTCCGACTCCAATGAGAAAGAGGAAAAACAAACGTCCACGACATGAAACGCGAGAAAACAAAGGCAGTGATTTTTCTACATTTTTTAAAAGGGACCTGGGCCTTTACAATTGGGAAAAATCATCGACATTTGTATCAAATTGGGAAAAATCAAAAAGATTGAAATTCAACCTTAATTGGCAGGTAAAATGAAATACTGGTATATAAGTAAATGTAACATCATTTATTCAATTTATTTGCTAAAAAGTAACAAATTAGACACAGTTCTAAATTCTTAACCCTTTTTTTAATCTTTGAAAGTTGTCATTAATTGTGACCAATCTATATTTCCATTTTTTTTTTTTTTGGCCATAATGGTAGACATAAGAGAAAATCTCTCTCGTAATAGCCATTGAAGATAGACTAATCTGACATGATAAATGACAAATCATTTTTTTTTTCAAACTAATTATTAAAGCTTTTTTATGACCCTAGCTAATCATAATGCTGCCATTTCTCTGCAATACTAGTTGCATCTGCCGGATGTAGAAACAGTTTGATTTTTATGGAATCAGGAATGCTTACTGTAGAGTTACTAGTACTTGGATTTACAAATAGAGCTACGTTTTGCCGGTTCACATGCACATTACACTTTCTTACGATGTATTTATACAACAGGTTTGACATGACCATGTGTTTTTTAAGTCTTGTAAACGCTCGACGTAATCTGCTGTTTCTTACTATTATTTTAAGAGTCTGAATGACCGAGAACAATAGCGTTCCATTTTAGATAAGTCGTACGTAAAAAATTCAATATAACAAAAACAACATCGGTTTTGTTTTGGGAAAAAAGCAATAGAAATTGGGAAAAAATCGGTAATTTTTGGGAGGGGAAAGGGCCGATATTCGGACCAAAAGCGTATGTAGAAAAATCACTGAAAGGCTAGGTCAGAAACCGCACCAAACTTGTTCTCTCTAGGCTTTCCGTATAGCCTGGTTCCCTGTCCCTGTTATGCTTCGTGCATTCCTGCCCTGGCAAGGATGAGCAAAATGACCAGGGTATTTTCCATGCAATTTCGGGACGTCTCTACTCGTTACTTGGAAATCATCACTTCCGTTCTTTCAGTTTCAGAGCTAGGTATCGAAGATGTTTTGCTTTAGAAAAACTAGGTCAGAAACCGCGCCAAACTTGTTCTCTCTAGACTTTCCATATAGCCTGGTTCCCTGTCCTTGTTATGCTGCGTGCACTCCTGCTCTTGCAAGGATGAGCTAAAGAACCAGGCTATTTTCCATACAATTCCGAGACGCCTCTACCCATTACATAGTTACAAATCATCACTTCCGTTGGTTTCAGTTACAGAGCTAGGTATCGAGAACGTTTCGCTTTACAAAAGCTAGGTCAGAAACCGCGCAAAACTTGTTCTCTCTAGATTTTCCATATAGCCTGGCTCCCTTTCCCTGTAGTGCTGCGTGCCCTCCTGCCCTGGCAGAGATGAACCAAAGAACCGGGTTATTTTCCGTGAAATTCTGGGACGTCTCTACTCATTACATAGTTAGAAATTATCACATCCGTTGCTTTCAGTTTCGGAGCTAGGTATCGAGAACGTTTTGCTTTACTGTATGTTTTATACGTCAACTGTAAATCGGCAGACGTTAGAAGGGAGTTATTCATTTTTGACGCTAGATCTCACCCGACACCGGGATCAAGTGGATTTAACGGACATGTAGTTCCATATTACGGCGGATGTTCTTTCATATAGTTGTGATTGGGTTCTATTCAAGTATTAGCTGCTGGTAAACAGGTCGGCAGGTAGACAGCTGCTGGTAGACAGGTCGGCAGGTCACAAGTCGGCAGGTAGAGAAGTCGGCAGGTAGACAAGTCGGCAGGTCGACAGCTCAGCAGTTTCTGGTTGACAGCTGTTGGACGACAGGTCGGCAACTACCTCTAGACAGGTCGACGCATCGACAGTTATTAATTTTCTGCATTTTGAATATTTATTCTAAGCCCCTTGTAATGTAATGTGTTTGCAAGTACATCAACAATATATTAGAAGCATTTTCTATATTATAGTTTTGGTGTCCCCTGCCTTTCATTGATTGTTTATTTTGCAAAGGGTAATTATTAATGAAGAACTTTTTGATTAAGATATTTAAATCTTAATTGTATAATTTTATATACTAGTATTCATTCACGATGCACATCGGCAACGTAAGGTTTGAAGTATTTTTTTAACTGCAGGTCAACAGCTACGAATTCTTATGAATGTTTACGATTCCCCCTATAAACATCCTATTGCAACCGTTAATTTCACCACTCAGCATAAAATAAATTTTGTCATATAATTAAAAAATACAAATATAAATATATTCCAATTTTCTTTAATGTCGTCGTGAATTACTTTTAAAAATTTTATCTACAATTGTGCAAGCAACTATTTACTCGATAATGTCAACGGGGTGGAACTCCGATAAGTCTATCAAAAAACGACTAAATATGTCACCGTTTTCATGCCCAAACCGATACCGGTACATGAATTCGTTTAACACATACATTAAACGAGACGGTATTACACCCTTCATTTTCTTGACCCTCAACTCCACCAGTCCCCCCCACAAACCCTCAATGGTGTTCATGCAGCAACCGTCATCACTTCTGAATTCCACCGAATGATTTACAGCTTTGTGTGCAAACCCATCGTTTTCTAGACCGTTGTATGCTGCCCACATATCAGAATAAATGGTGGATCCAATTTCTACATATTTCTCTATGATAGGAATTATTGTATTTCTGTCCTTTCGTTCCAATTGCAGCACCGAATTTCTTGTGTTTCTTTCCACCATTCCAAATACCCAATATTTTTGATTCCCTGTCCCTCGGTGATACTTTCTCTTCTTTCCGAAAAGACTTTCATCAATCTCAATTATGTTGGAGTTGATATCCGATCCTAGTTTTATTGGATTTCTCAGCAAGGCACTGGAGCATACATCCCGAAAAAATGAGTACCAGTCAACGTATGTTTTGTGGTCTACCTCTGGCAACAGCTTCGCGCTTTCATATATTTGAAAATCCACGGCAAAAAAATACACTATCTGCATTAACACGGTCGGTCGCAATCGGCTTCTCTGAAATTAAAAATGCAATCTTTTATCAATAATTTTCAAATCAAAATCAATATTTGATAATGGAATACATGATCAATATTCACGAAAGTAAAACATACAAGAAATTTAAAATAAACTCAAGGAAATTGCATAATTTTTCACAGCCAATAAAATTTGAATATACAGAGAGCGAGATTAAAATCCTATTCATTTCAACACCGTTGTACGTCTTGTGTTACGTTAGTAAAAAAAATTGCTTGTCATTTCAGCCCCCCTTTTTTAAAAATTGAATTCCTAGGTCTAAGAATATTTCACAAGAATTTTAAAAATTCTAAATAATCAATTTCAATGAAAAAAAAATTTAATTTTCCGGAAAAAAAAAGATCACCCCCTCTTCTTTTTTTAAATTTAATTCCTAGGTTTAAAAATATTTCGTCAGAACTTAAAAAAGAAAATTTTAATAATCAATTTCAATAATAAAATAAATTTTCAATTGAAAATTAAAGACAAAAAATTCATATTGCCATCTTTCCTTGAATTTAAAACAAAATAGCATCATATGTACATGAATATATTCCACTCAATCAAATACTTACAGAGAATATTGTACCACTCCTGATGGATTTCCTTGAGTAGCAAAGTTTACATCGCCATACTTCACCATCACTGATGTCATTTTTCTTCACTATTGTCATGTCTTCTCCACAATTACATTTCATAATAGACGGAATTAAACCATTACACCTCATAAATTGAATACATATTTCCACCGTTTTTAAAACTTCCATACAAAATTTAAATACTCCAGGCACCCTTGGATAATTTTCCTTTCCATCAGCCATTTCGTAAATTCAAATTATGAATAACAAGAGGCCCAAGGACCTTAACGGTCACCTGAGTACAATACAACAATTTAGAGGATCCATAAACTGATAAATGAAGCTTTGTTGCCTAACAGCAAGAAAAATAGTATGATTAGCATCAACAAAATAATTGGTCTAGTATCTATCTGCCCCTCCCCCCCCTCCCCCATTTATCACTATTCCCATGCGGACTATTAACAAAATGTCTATTATTTAACCCCATATTATTCCTTCTCACAATGGCCTCTCTTGGCTGTTGAAGAACATTTAAAAAGATAAGTTATTTTTGTCTCATTTTTATTCATCTATTATTTCCAAGTCATTAAAACTATGAAAGTACTTCTTTTATTATACAATAAATTTTCTTGCATAATTCTCTTATTCTATTAAGCTTTCAAATACATTATGTGAATTGATTAATTATCAAAGGTGAATGGCAAAGGGGAATAATTTTGCTCAGTAGGAAACAAGTTAATAGAGAACTGGCCAGGACCAGAAAACTTGACTAAATGGTCCAGGTGTTCAAAATTCTGGTAAAAATACCCTTGCTTATTAAAACTTTTACTCTGTTTGCCTTGAACATCCAGAGAAGCATAGACGATTTTCAAAGAAATGCATTTTCATCATATTATTAAATAAATAAAGCCCCATCCTTACACCAGAACATCTGACCCATTGGCCACGAACTCACAATTCTGGAAGAAGCACCCTTTATCATCATAACTATACACTTGTTTCTTTAGTTTAAAACCAGTAGTAGATAAAAATTTTTGAAAGAAATTATGCATTTTCACTATATACATGTAATCAATAGAGCTCCCCCCCCCCCGCCAACACCAGAACCCCTGACCCAGGGGCCATGAAATTCACAATTTTGGAAGAGGCATTCTTCCTTATCATAACCATGCACTTCCTTTGTTAAAAAATACCCAGGAGCAGAGAAGAAGATTTTGAAAGAATTCATGCCTTTTCCCTAAATAATCAATAGAGCCCCCCCCCCCCCAATAACACCAGAACCTCTGACTCTGGGGCCATGAAATTCCCAATTTTGGAAGAGGCACTCTTGCTCATCATAACTATGTACTTAGTTAATTTATTTAATACCTAGGAGCAGAAAAGATTTTCAAAGAATTAATGCATTTTCACTATATAATCAATAGAGCCGCCCTCCCCCCTAACACCAGAACCCCTGACCTTGGGGTCATGAATTTCAGAATTTTGGAAGAGGCACTCTTGCTCTTCATAACTATGTACTAAGTTAGTTTATTTAATACCCAGCAGCAGAGAAAAGGATTTTCAAAGCATTACTGCAATTCTACTATATAATCAATAGAGCCCCGCCCTAACACCAGAACCCCTGACCCAGGGGCCATAAAATTCACAATTTTGGAAGAGGCTTTCTTGCTCATCATAACTATGTACTTAGTTACTTTATTTAATATTCAGGAGCAGAGAAGAAGATTTTCAAAGAATTCATGCATTTTCACTATATAATCAATAGAACCCCGCCTTAACACCAGAACCCCTGACCCAGGGGCCATGAAATTCACAATTTTGGAAGAGGCATTCTTGCTCATCATAACTATGTACTTAGTTACTTTATTAAATACCCAGGAGCAGAGAAGAAGATTTTCAAAGAATTCATGCATTTTCACTACATAATCAATAGAGCCCCACCCTGGCACCAGAACCCCTGACCCTGGGGCCATGAATTTCACAATTTTGGTAAAGGGCTCAATGCTTATTACTATGATGCCAACAGTTTGACTGCTTGATGTCCGGGAGTAAAGATTGATCGATTATATATTGTTTTACGTCCCATTCGAGAATTTTACACTCATATAGAGACGTCACCATATACCGGTGAAGGGCTTCAAACTTTTGACCTTTACTCGGCACTCAGGGCCATTGAGCAGTGAGGGATCTTTATCGTGCTAACGCCTACCGTGACACGGGGCCTCGGTTTTTAAGGTCTCATCCGAAGGACCCGCAACTTTCACTTCAAAGTGCCGAGCGCATGGCGAAGGAACAGTTGCTACCCATTCTTTATCGACTTAGGTCAGTCGCGGCCGAGATTCGAACTCACGACCTCCCGATCACGAAGCAAGCGCTCTACCGACTGAGCTACCGTGAACGGTCGGAAGTAAAGAAGATTTTTAAAGATTGCATTATTTTCAGTGGTTTTAGCCCCATCGCTCAGGCCCCAGGGGGGCAGGGACCATGAAATTCACAATTTTTGTTCCCCTTCACCCATAGATGCTATATGCCAAATTTGGTTGAAATTGGTTAAGCGGTTTCAGAGAAGAAGCTAAAAATGTTCAAATGTTAACACACGACGCACGCCGACGGACGAGAACAGATAGCAATAGGTCACCTGAGTGACTCAGGTGACCTAAAAACACCATGACGTAACAATTCATTTAAATTGGGCGCTTAATTACCGAAGATAAACGTTAAATCACGAAAACGTTGAACGTTTGTGACGTCAAAGTATACAAGCGTCAAAATTTAAATTTGAGATGGCGACGTTGAAGAAGTTCAACGATAACGATGTCTTCCAAATATACAGAAATGCTCACCAAATGCACATTCCTTGGAGAAATTGTTTGCATCCAGAAATAGCTAATTGGTTGGACATTTACGAGAAGGCAACAATTTGCCCTAAAACTTTGATTCTTCCATCCCTTTTGGCTCTGACTGAATGCTTAGTAGGCCCTGGGACGTCAATCAAAATGGAGAGTACTGGATTCAAATCTGTACTAAATCAATTCATTATCGCCGTGTGCGATTCAGGGGGAGGAAAGACGAATACGTTTGAGCGTGTTATTTCCCCATGCTTAGACAAAATTTCATCATTGGGTAAGGATGTCCAACTAGAATCCTATACAACAGCCGGAATCCAAAAACACCAAATTGCTAATGAGGGGTACGGTTTGATTACTGGAGATGAAGGACATAGATGCATGTCTTCAATAAATCAAAAACTAAAAGGTGAATCAGAGAGGTCCCTGCTTTGTAAAATGTGAGGAGGAAAGGGAGACATAAGCACCTTAGCATCAGGTGCTCGCAGATTCAGTAGAACATCTATGTCAATGTGTTTGATGATACAACCGCACCCCTTCCTTTCCGATTTGGCGAATCTCAACAGAGAAGATGGACTTGTAAACAGGTTCTTAATCTTCACAGCAAAACCTGAGTTCCAGTTACCTATAACGCTGAAAGAAAACTTACAAAAACTACGAGATACCAACATGCTATCATTTGAAGAGATTTTCTCAAAAATATTTACGGAACATTTCAATACCGATTTGGAATACCGTCTATCCGATGAGGCTGAATCATTATACACTGACATGATCGACCAATATGCGACTTTTGGACAGCAAAAATACAGCGACAATGAAGGTATGCATTTATACAAATTATTATTCGTCCTCAACACAACCAATTCCTTTTTAAAAAACCAAACACAATTTATATGAATTTATTTACATACAGTGATACACATATATAAACTTTGGTATTGTAGCTGATTATTAATTGTTTTAATTACACATGTAAGTCTATATCCGATTCTGAATTTTTTTTTAAAGAATATATTCAAAAAAAGTAAATTAACAAAATAACAAGAGGCCCATGGGCCTTGAATCGCTCTTCTGATAAACTGTACAACCTATCACTTCTATTTGAAACCTCGAAGTATCCTGTATATTTAGATAAACCCTTGAAATTCCAATTCACACTCTGAGAACCCAAGATGATTCTAAGCCAATTAGTACCTGAGAGTTGGTCATGGTGACCTACTTATCACTTGTCATTCTCTGAGGACCCATCAACTAAGTTTGATGATTCTAAGACAATTAATACTTAAAATATTTTTTAAAATTATAACCATAAAATTTTATAAGTAGGTCAAAGTGACCTACTTTTCAATTGTTTTACTCCAAGGACCCAAGATGCATCAACTGACAAAGTTTGATGATTCTAAGCTAATTAGTATCTGTAATATTTAATTAAAGCCATAAATTTTCAAAAGTAGGTCACGGTGACCTACTTTTCAGTCAACCTACTCCGAGGACCAAAGATGCATCAACTGACAAATTTTGACGATTCTAAGCCAAATAATTCCTGAAAATATTAAATACAGCCATAAAATTTCAAAAGAAGGTCACCGTGACCTACTTTTCAGTTGTTGTACTCCGAGGACCCAAGACGCATCAACTGACAAAGTTTAATGATTCTAAGCCAATTAGTACCCAAATTATTTGATTAAAGCCATAAATTTTCAAAAGTAGGTCACCGTGACCTACTTTTCAGTTGTTGTACTCCGAGGACCCATGACGCATTAACTGACAAAGTTTTATGATTCTAAGCCAATTAGTACCCGAAATATTTTATTAAAGCCATAAATTTTCCAAAAGTAGGTCATGGTGACCTACTTTTTAGTCGACCTACTCCGAAGACCCATGACGCATCAACTGACAAAGTTTGATGATTCTAAGCCAATTAGTACCTGAAATATTTAATTAAAGCCATAAATTTTCAAAAGTAGGTCACCGTGACCTACTTTATAGTCGACCTACTCTGAAGACCCAAGATGCATCAACTGACAAAGTTTAATGATTCTTAGCCAATTAGTACCCGAAATAATTAATTAACGCCATAAATTTTCAAAAGTAGGTCACTGTGACCAACTTTTTAGTCGACCTACTCTGAAGACCCAAGACGCATCAACTGACAAAGTTTGATGATTCTAAGTCAATTAGTACCTGAAATATTTAATTATAGTCATATAAATTGAAAAGTAGATCACGGTGACCTACTTTTCAGTT